ACAGCTATAAAAATAAAAAATAAATGCTTAAATCCCATAATTTTGTGCAACTGTGAACTTTTACATAAACAAAAAATGCTTAATAAACATCAATATTAGTTGAAATTATAAATAAATAAAAATCAAATTCTGCCAACATTATAAATATGTGAACATTATAAAAGAATGAAATAATTAGAATAATACATTGCAAGTGTCCAAAAAACAAACTGCATGCATGTTGAAGTGGCACATTTAGGCTATCTGCCTGAGGTCTTAATGTTTTTTAAATCCTGTTTACTGTCCACCATGATGTGAAGTCTGTAGTGCTTTGAATCTACTGTGTGCAGGTAGGAGTCCCTGGATCAAGACAGATCTCAATGTATTTCCTTCTCAAACCAAATGGGGCTGGCAAACATTGTGGAGATAATATTCTCCGCTTCCCAGAGGGAAGGGTTTTGCATATCTCACACTTTCTACTCCACAAAAAGCTGTTGCCTTGTATTACAGCTTTTGAGGAGACAATTACCTTCCTCAATGCAGGGAAAATAAATGCGTCACAGTTGATAGAGTTGAAGGGGAAAAAGATACAGCTTTATCTTTAATATGGGTAAGACTCCCCAGTTCAGATTGGCTAACACTATGTAAATTACTGCTGGTTCAGTAAACTAATGGGATTTTTGGCATATACCAGGCTTAATAGTATGGGCAGAGAGCCTTCTGCTACAATGATGATCTTCTAGAAACCTTTCTACTATCTTTTACTTCTCATTTTCATTCAAAAGAATGACCTGGTTTCTAATCTTTGCCTGAGGCCTGCTGAAAACTTTGAATAGCATTTATAAAGTGCTAAGAGGCCTTATATATATGCACACATTATTTATTTCTATTTTTACAATTTACATCAAGCCAAGGATTTCACCCTTGCCACAATGCCCAGTCTGCTTCTCTCAAAGAAACTAAGAATTTTTCATAAATATATTTTCCTTTTGTCCCACTCCCTTTCCCATCCCTGAATAAGCCACCAGTTGTTCATATGATCCAAGGGTTAAGGATCGACCGCCCTGGAACTGAAGTTTCCTATTTATCCACAGAATATGTACAGCCTGGGCAGTAGAGGCAAGCTTCCCAATGCTGCCCAACCACTGGGACTCAGTTCCAACCACGAGCAGTCTCTCTACAACAGAGGACTGGTCAGTCTCTAGAACCATTCAATTCTTGACAATATCAGCAGCAGAGAGGTCAGCAAGGCTGCCGGAGACCGACCATCCATCAGAAGTTAATGGCTTTTGGCCACTATTGATTTAGGCCAGTGAATTGGAAAAAGGTGTAAGGCTCTGCATCTATGCGTGAGTACCCAATATCCCGAGTTCTTCTAAATAGTAGTACAGAAAAAATATTGTCTTTTTACATCAAATTTATGTTATTTATTTTTTGTACAGTCCCCATCCCAAAGAGCTTTCAATCTAATTAAATGTCTTCTCTTTAAAAAATACACTTTAAGAGGGTTTTGCTATTTTCTAAAATAAATATGTAATTTTTCACTTAGAGCAAGATCATAACGCACCATAAGGTACCCCCTATAGTGCCCTGAACAGCTGTGGGTCAGTGTGGAGAGGAGGATAAAGTAGTCTCCATGGGGCCACTATACCCGCTCCCATATAGGCAGGTAGGAAGCGGGTGGCTAGGTGCAAGAAACCAGCAGAGCCTTGACTCTGCCTCTCCAATATGCCACTGGCCAGCACATCTTAGCAAAGCAGGAAGTAAATTGGTATAGGACAGTAGCAGATTGCTCTGGGGGGAGTTAAGGGAAAGCCAGGGTAGAATTGTGACTCTCAGACTGCTCTTGGAGCAGCACAGTTACTCAATGCTCCTTGCCTATGAACTGAAAGTAAACTCTCAATTTAAAAGTTTTTCTCTGGCTATACCCTTAAGTCCATCCTAGAGAGGTGGTGGGAAGTTAGAACTCTCTCTTGTATGCAGACATCAGAGCTCGATGCCCAGGTTCCATAACCAGAGGATGTGCTCTGCACCAAAGGAGGCTAGACATTGTGGACCGGCCTCCAGATGTCAGGTTGGGCACTCTTCCATCTTATTGTCTGTGACTACCCCACAGGAGGAAAGTTAAATAATAAAAGGTTAGACCCTTCCTATCACACTCCCCCCCCCCCCGCAACAAGTCCAATCAAAAGGATAAAACTAACCTGCTGTATGTAAAATATCATCATTCAATCAGATTGCTTCTCATTACATCTTAGACCTGATTCTTCAAGGACTGTAAGCTCTTGAAAGCAGAGACCACATCTGTAAATGCCTAGCACACTGTTGACACTATACATTTTAATGTATTTTGATTTATAACAAATATACACTAAAAAGAGTCTATTCAGGGCCTCAGGCACCTTTGCCAAAAATTAAAAATACAATCAAAGAAAAAGTAAAATCAACTGTTGTTCCTCACCTCAAAACCAAAAGATAAAATAACTAACTACAGCAAATCAAGCCCAACCAATAGCCTCCTCCCTCCAACATATCAGCCATCATTATACCCTCCTCAACAACCTGGGTAAATAAATAGGCCTTACAGCATGCCCATTAGTTCAACCAATTCAGGCTACTGCAGACAAGAGGGGTGAGGAGAAATAGGAAAGATAGTAGGCTGCAAGGTGGAGTGCCTCTCATGATGAATGCTCTTCCAGAACTCCCATTTTAATACTAAGGGGGTTTCAGCTCAAATACATTCACTAATGGGAAATGTAGCAATATGGCATGGGGAGAATAACAGTCTCTCAAGTAGGTAAATCCCTGTCCATTTTGCCTTTATAAACTAGCACTTTAAACTCCATCAGGCAGCCCATGCTGATCATGGACCACTGGTGGTGTGCTCACAGCTTGCGTGACCTAATAAACTGACTACCACGTTCTACACCAGCTTCAGTTTCTGGATTGACTTAAAGTGTAGCTTTACAGTAATCTAATCTTGAAGTGGGAAAGGGATGGATCACAGTAATCAAGGTTCACATGTGAAAGAAATGGATGCAATTTCCTAGCCAGACAGAGAAGGAAAAAAAGCTGTCCACAAAATTATTAGATGACAATTTAACAGCAACTGGAGACCCAGGATCCAAGACCACAGACTGTGAAAAGTGGACACACACTATCAAGACAAAGGGTGGATCAAATCATCACTATAGCTTCTAGTTGCTTCCCTCAAGCTACCAGCAACTCTAGACTGAGTTTCAGCCAACTAGCTCTCATCCATGTCCCAGTCTCACCCAGGCACTGGGTCAGGCAGTCTATAACACTAGTGTATATAATAACACTATTATTTTATTAGGTCAATTTTTCCAGTACATTTATACTATTGTAAGCCATGGAGGTTATCGTGTTAACACATTTAATAGGGCCTTATTGAGACACAGTTTTGGACTTCCTTAGTAATGAAGGCTATATAATATGCTTTACAAGATTTTCTAAAATTATGGCTAAACGTATTGCAGTGCTACAGTAGCCACTTAAGTGTTACGTCACGTACACAGCCCCACTTGTCTCCAATGCTCACTTTTGATTTTTCCTCATATTCCACAATGCCCCATATTCTGGGAGCAATCTCCCAATTCACACAGGATCTGGGGGGATGAACTGCTGGTTGGCGGGCAGGAAGCAGATGCCACTAAGGATTCATACATACCACACTACACATGCAAACTATGAACCTTGTGCTGTATCAGCCACCAGGCCAAACTCTTTCCTCTGCTAGACCAAATCGCCTCACCAAATCCATGAATTTCTTTAACAAAATATTAGGAAAACCACCATGATTAGAACTGTGTTCTGGTTTATCATAACATTTGATTTTTGTAACAGGATCTTTTATAACAGGATCTGCAATGTTCAGCAGCTTGAGCACCTGATTTCGAGTTTATTTTTAAAAGTGCCTTTAGGATGGCATCAGCCCTGAGCGGTGTGGCTGACAATTGCACTACACTGCAATGTTTAGGGAGGCGGACTCCCACAGATCCTCACTTAGGGCAGCCAGTTGCTAAAGCAGCACCGTCCTGCAAGAGAGATTCGGGCTGTTGCACTTCTCCAGGGCAAAACCTCACGTTTGAATAAATCTCTCCTCATGGGAACGCTTCTCTGGCTGGAGAGGCAGCCCCATAAGCACCTAGCCATGCCCCTGACATACAGAGAGCAACATGTGCCCCGGAGAGGGACCCGGCTGTCCCTGTTTAGGGAGGACAGTACTTAGCCTCAAGGCAAGCTTGGCTCTGCTCTCCGGCCTGTGGCTATTCCCCAGCTGTGCACCGCCGGCGGACACTCCCACGCCCCCGCGGGCAGCCCTAGGCGCACCCGGCACTGCCCATGCCGCTGCGGACAGCGAGCGCTTGCCCGGCCCCTGGCGGAGAGAAGGAGCCGCAGGGACGGGAGAAGCGGGTTACAGCTGCCAGAAGACGCGGGGGGAGGGGCAGGGGGCTTGCCCGGGGCATGCAGGCAGCCCCGTGGCTCCCGGAGGCAGCGCTGCTTGGGGGGAGGGGACTGTTCTGAACCCCATCTCGGAGGGGCAGGTTCTCAGCCAGCTGCAGCAACCCGGTCGTGGCGGGCGGAGCAGGGCAATAAACTGCCCCTGCTCCGTGCACCGACGCAGAGCGAGGGCTGCCCCGCGTCTCTCCCGCCTGGCCTAGGCGGGGGAGCAGCCAGCTGCAGGGGGGGTCTAGGCAGCGGGCAGTCCATTCTCTCCCCCCCCCCACCCCCCCGCAGCTCCAGCAGCCAAAGGGCACCTGAGGAGCCTGCAACAGGCGAGGGGGGAGGAGGGGGAATCCAGGGCTCATGTGCCAGGCTACAAAGGGAGATCAGGAGTCTGAACTGGGGCGAGGGGGGTGGGTTCAGTTTTCCAATATAACCCGCCTCCCCAGCCCTGCAGCTCATCAGCGCCGCAGAGAGCCCCCTGCGCGGCTCGCGGACGGGCTCTGCCTGCAGACGTGTCCCTCTCTCCCGCACAAGTTGCACTAACTTGGGGAAAGAGGGAGCTGCGGGAAAGCGCCCGCGAGGTTTCCGAGGAGAATGCAGTTTACCTGTGGTTAGATTGTCATTGATCTTCAAAGGCACCCTCAGGATGTAGACCAGGAAAAGCATGATGAAGAACCACAGGGTCCAGAGGTAAGTCCATGACCAGACGATGCAGGACTTGAGCTGCTCCAGAAAGCCTGTCCCAGCTTCAGCCATGTTTTTGAAGAAGAAAAAAAAACCAACCCTGCTCTCTGCTGCCACAACCTCTCAGTGTGTATTTATGGGATGATTCATGCCTCCCAAAGTAGACTCCCCCCTCCCCTAGGGTTTCCATACAGGCATCTCTTCCAGCCGCAACATAATGAAGAAAATATATTTAAAAAAACCTACATTCACAAAATAGCCCCACCCCAACTCTGTCTGCCTCTTTCTCTGTGCCTATAGTGCTCCAGTTTACAGCTGCAGCTGGGTAACCCCAATTAAACTGATTTCACCGAAAAAGCACATGAACTGAACAGCCTCAGGGGTCTATTTGCAGGTGCTCGTAGCAAGCCGGCATAGTGGTTGGATTCTGCACAGAGCTGAACCTCTAAAGACTGAACCTTTTTAGGGATTTTCTCTCCTCCACTAACTTCCACACTACATTAGGGGTAGGAAGGAGGGCCTAACCTCTCCAGCAGGGGAAAGGCCCTCCCAAGGCTCAAATTTTGGGGGATGAGGGCAAAGAGAGAAAAGAAGATACCTTCCCCCACCCGGACAGGACAGTTCAACCTTTTTGAAAGGGGAATAGAGTTTTGGAAGCTTCTCTGAGAGTATAATCTCTAACACAATTATAGTGGAATCCCATTGGCTCCTTCGTTCTATGTGCTAAGGTTGATGGGTTGTCTGTAAATCCCTAGCCCAGTCACTGAGGCATAGGGCAATGGTAGCAGCATTTTTGCTACCTTATGAAGGTGGAGCAGAGCTACCTGTAAGGAAGGATGTGAGGTTGTAAAAAAACAACTGCATCCCGGGTTTGCATGTTATTCCAAAGCCTGGGCAGATGTTCTCAAATCCAACTGAGCTCCAAACCCATCATGATTTCACATGGAATCAGGTTCTTTGCAAACTATTGCTAAGTTAATAATGTCAAAATAAAGATGCATTGTTATTTGTTTTTCCTAGCCTGTATATACTTGTCTGGATACTGCCCAATGGGTCTTGATCCATAAGAATCTCTAGTCTTTAGGCACTACCACAGTAAAAATAAATGAGTTTTATAAAGGTATAGATCAAGCATAACCCTACAGTAATAATAAAATTCTTTACATTAAGAAAGTGCATTTCTCATCCATTTTGTCTCTCCTTAAGATACATTTCTGCCATGACACAGGAAATTACTACTAGTAGTGCTGGCAGAATGCAGAGACTGTTGGGCATAATTGATTCTTATTTTTTAAAAAGATGTATGTAATACATATAAGCTAGGAATTATTAGGGTGCATGTGCTTATGATTTTTCCCCTCTCTCCTCTGTATATTGCTTGTCTAATAAGACTAACGCCTTTGGATTGGGAGGCTGTCTTCCTTGGAGTTGGGACAGTGCCTAGTACAATATGGGCAATATCAGAATAGAAATAATCATAGAATTTTACAAGCAAACTGATATACCAACTGGACTCAGGGTTTACTTTATGTACATATCACTAAATATGGCCATCATGGGTGAAAAGTGACAACTCCAACAGCAAATAGAAAAGTTTAAGACAGTAGGTTATGAATACTTCAGTGGACAAATAAAACTGCATAAAGCTTTGGTAAACAGATTGCAATTAGTTCACTCAGGGCCGGCTCCAGGCACCAGCTGAGCAAGCAGGTGCTTGGGGCGGCCAAGGGAAAGGGGCGGCACGTCGGGTTCTTCGGTGGCAATTCGGCGGAGGGTCCCTGTCCCTCTCGGAGGGAAGGACCTGCCGCCGAATTGCCGCCGAAGAAGAAAGTGGCGCGGTGGAGCTGCCGCCGATCATGGCTTTTTTTATTTTTTCCCCCGCCGCTTGGGGCGGCAAAAACCCTGGAGCTGGTCCTGAGTTCACTTACCTAGTGTTGGGATTTTCTTCTAGACCTCTTTCCACTCGACTACCCAAGAACTCAGACTCCAGACGTTGTCCCTCAGGTATTTTTATTTGGCATACAGCAAAACTACATTAAGTTAATCAGATGAAAATGCAGGGGGAGAATGCAGGATACATCATAGATCCAAAGTTACACAGAAATCCTCTTATTTGATATACATTTACACAATTCATTGCTTTACACCTTTTGGGATTGGCTTGGCTACAGTGTAGGAACCAGTCCCTGTATAGCGTGCTTTGTCCACTCGCTGTCAACGTTCGACCTACTCTTTACCTCATTTTTACATTCCTGACTTATCTTGACAATTGTTATTTTGTATTTTGTAAGTGGTTCCCTGGGTGGTCCCTCCCTTTATCTTATCTGGTTTAGAGGTTCTGTCTTCTAGCTCACTGACCCATTTACCTATCTTAGTTAGTACAAATATTCTGTTTTCAACATGCTGACCTATTTACCTCCCTAATCCTGTCTTCCAAGAAATGAGGCCTCCTCCATTTTTCATTACTCATGTCAAGCCAGGCCTACACCTTGTTAAGCTAAGACATCAAGATCAACACCTCTATTTTTTCAAACAGTGCCATGGGATTTTTAATCAATGACAAGGGCTGAGGACATCATCTTTATGTCTCATCCAAAAGTGGTGCTTCAATGTCATGTGATGTCCAAATCAACCTACTGGAGCATTGGTGTGATGGTGATTCAGAGGGATGGGTGGCACTAAATGAATCACCAAAGCCATTAATCAGAAAATATGATCAATTTGGAAAGGTCTGTTACAGCATCCATGTTTACAGTTAGGTTATAGTCAGAAAATGAAAAGCAGCCATCTAGATATAAAACAGCACTGCATTTTGAATGTTTGAGTTTCTCTTTCTTGGTTTTAAAAAGGAAAGGAAGATTAAGGCACCACAAGCTTGTCTGCAAACTAATATCAGTGTTATTCCAATAGTGCACTTATTTCTTATTTTGTGGCAAAAAACCTTGGTCCTCTTTGTAATCATAAAAGACAGTGCACTCTTTGACTAAAACAAATTTCCCCTACATAGTTTGTCTTGAAACTATTATTCTTTGTATTACAGAACTAAACATAGGATCATAAATGTAGGGATGAAAGGGATCTCAAGAGGTTATCAAGTTCAATCCCCTGCGCTGAGGCAGAACCCTAGACCATCCCTGACGGGTATTTGTTCAACCTGATCTTAAAAACTGATGGGGATTCCACAATGTCACTTGGAAGTCCATTCAAGAGCTCAACTACCCTTATAATTAGAAAGTTTTTCTTAATATCTAACCTAAATCTCCCTAGCTGCAGATTAAGCCAATTACTACTTGACCTACCTTCAGTGGACATGAAGATGATTACCCACCCTATATATCAACCCTTAACATTTTTGAAGACCGTTATGAGTCGTCATTTCTCAAGACAAAACTTGCTCTGTTTTTTTTAAATCTTTTCTTATAGATCAGGTTTTCTAAACCTTTTATCATTTTGGTTGCTGTTTGCAGAACACTCCAGTTTGTCCACGTCTTTCCTAAAGTGTGGCACCCAGTATTGGGCATAGTTCTCCAGCTAAGGCCTCACCAGTACTGAGTAGAGTGGGACAATTACCTCCCGTGTCTTACATATAACAATCCTGCTAATGCACCCCCAGAATATTAGCTTTTTGCAACTGCATCACATTAACTCATGTTCAGTTTGTGCCCACTATAATCCCCAGTTCATTTTCAGCTGTACTGCCATCTAATCAATTATTCCCCATTTTGTGGTTGTACATTTATTTTTTTCCTTCCTACATGAAGTACTTTACACTTGTCTTGATTGAATTTCATCTTGTTGATTTCAGATCAATTCTCTAATTTTTCCAGGTTGTTTTGAATTCTAATCCTATCCCCCAAAGCGCTTGCAGCCCCTCCCAGTTTGGTGTCATCTGCAGATTTTATAAGCCTACTCTCCATTTAGTTATCAAAGTCATTAATGAAAATAATGAATAGTACGGACCCTGGACGGACCCCACTAGATATGCCTTACTGTTTATCATTGCTTTCTACCCTATGATGTAGAGCTCTGTTATCTGATATTATTCCAAAATTTTGGTCAGGATTAATTGTAAAGAATTTTAAAATGTTTATACATTAACCTCTGATCTTTCTAATTCTTATAGTTGAAAACTAGAGTGAATTGTTTTGGCTTCTTTAGGTCATTCAGTTCAGTTTTCTTCACAACACCAAAAAGGCCAGAACATCAAAACATTTTAAGCCTTGTTCATTTAAAGCATGTATTTTAATTAGTCTTTTACCTTGCTTCCTACTTAATTATTTATGACCGTTTCTATTTCCAACAGAATTATATTAATAATTAATACTTTGCAGTCATGTCATGCTATTTATTCCAAGAATCTCAAATATCTTTACAATGAGGTGAACAAGTATTATTATAACTGTTATAAAGAGGGGAGGGGGGGAATGAACCAGATTGGCTAAGTGGCTTGCGCAAGGTGCATCAGTGGGTGAGACAGAGCTAGCAACAGACCCCAGCTTTTCAGACTCCTGGTAGCACGCTCTCTCACTGCCTCCTGTATATGTATTCATTAGAAAGGTCAACAAGAAACAAAAACAGATATTACGTCTACCCATATGTATAAAATAGCTTAACTTGTTTTACATTTTAAGTATACATACTTATAAGATATGCTTGATCATGACTGACTGAAAACAATCGTGAACAAATCAATTCATTACTATTGCCAATAACACTGAGGTTTGGAGAAAGTTAACTTGTTAGATAATAATGTGTGCGCAAATGACTGTATATCCTGAGCATTTTTGCATGAAAGGTGAACTAAAATGCTCTTTAGAGACATGTTGAATCTTCAGTTCCTATTCTCTCGTTACGCGCACAATTTTTCCAGAAGAGGGATCCTAATAATGAATAGATATTTTAAAAAGCAAAAACAAATTGTTCAGAAGCCAAGTGATTGAGGCAGTCAGGCCATAACAGAATACAATTGTAGTCTTCATTACAAAAGAAATGTATTTTAAAAATAA